TATATATATATTCAAGCCATGCAAGGCCATGGCAAAGAGAATTATAATGATTTTTTTTTTTAAATATTACGTGTATAAATATCAGCGTCAATATTAGTTAATTCTGCACATCAAAATGATGGGCGACACAAGAACTGCATCAAAGAAGTCTGCCTTTCCATAAATAATAATGTAAGATAAAGATTAGATTCTGAAACACCTATTTAATACATCTCTGATGAATTTTGTTCTGCCTTTAAATTATGACGAAAGTACAAGTCATGTCGCTGCTATGCAAGGCCCGGAAAAATATATCGAATAAACACAATCCTTATATGCTTCATGAACTAACTAAAAGTACTAAAAAACACTAAAAATATATATTAAATAAATGATGTGCATGAATATATAAGAAAAATATGGAAATATCTATTATGTATACTGCATATTTCAGTTTCAAGTCACCTCAAAAGTGAATTTGACTAATATATCTATGAATCAAAAGCCTTATTGGTCAGAATTTTGGATACAGTTTTTGACTGATCATTTTATGGGGGCTTGGATCTTATTTGAGTGAGTGTGTGTGTGTCTGTGTGTGTGTGTGTTGAACAAACTCTACTGGGATACCTGCACACACCAACACCCACACACACACCTGTTGATCCAGCATAGAGTCATTGAGGGATGACAGCTCGGTGGATCTCTGGAAAACTGGAGAGTCCACATGTGGGGACATCGTCACGCTGGGATGTCCTGCAGATTCACACACACACACACACACACACCCACAAACACTGTGTTCATTAAAATGGCTCTCTCTCTGTCATTCTGTATGTCACGCACTCGCACTCGCACACACACACACACACACACACACACACACACACACACACACACACACATTAAAATGTGGGTAATGAGGCATGTTAATAATTCTACCAGTCTGCCTTAGTGATGGGTCTCCTAAGAGGTCATGGACTACGGCCAAGGCTCTGTCGGAGCGGGCCAATACATCATGCAGCAGCAGCTTGTCAGAAAACACCTGCAAACAAAAATGAAATACAGTGTAGACTTTTATTTAAAAAGAAAAAAAAACATAGATTGAATTCAGTAGACTATTTGAAAATGATGCCACACCTCTCTCATGATTGTGTGACTGGCTTTGTCCAAAGGACCACATCCAGCCTGCCTGAGGCGAGCCTTCAGTGCTTTCTCTCGCAGCTCCCACTGAGCGGCGGCCTTGTTGTGCGACTTACGGATTTCGCGCCGATAGTTCTGAGGACACACCGGGGATACAAATCGTTACCAGAGGTCTTTAGGCTTGAAGATAATTTAAAAACGAATCATTGAAAGATACTTAAACCAGCTTTACCAGCTCTGCAGGGGTCAGCTTGTGCACGGACAGGTCACTGACTGTGCTCTGAAACCAAAACCATTGCTTCATCAAAGTGTACAATGAGGAATAAACCAAGCGAGGACTACCCAAAGTGTGTGTGTGTGTGTGTGTGTGTGCGTGTGTGTGTGTGTGTGTGTGTGTGTGTGTATGTACAGTATCTATCTATCCCCTTATATACAGTATATGATTGTTTTATATTTATGGCTCTGAGTCTTTTTAACATACATTTAATATAACATAATAGTAATGTAAGATTAGGTGAAATCCGTCGTAACCCGAGGATTCGTCATTTATGGCAGAAATCTTTGCTGTTTGAGTCAATGACGCAGGCACTCACCACCCATTCTCTTTTTGGGAGAGGCGCTGTCTTCTTGGGGCGTAGGGGGTTTTTCAGGCCCTTGCCGTGTTGCGTCCGACATCCTCCTCGAGCTAATGACATGTTCGGGAAAGCGCTTTTCGACAACTTTGCGGGGTTAGCGGAAACGAATGTCAACGAGTTATAGCGTTAGCTTTCGCTAGTACCCACTTTTACGGCGAGCGAGCTCACATTTGAAGTTCGAGTTTACGTGGAAAAGTAAACGTAAAACAACCCCGACGTTAGTTCTACAGACGACTTGCTATTTTTAAAAATAATTGCGCCTCGAAATGCCACTCGCAGTGCTAACTTCAAATCTGTCTGTCGTGGTTTGTTGCCTGAGTTTTTCAACCGTCCCGCGCCACTTCCCTGTACTGCGTGTCACGCGCGCGAAGAGCATGATGGGAGATGTAGTACTGTCGACCAGGAACTGTGTGCCGATAATTTTGAACAGAATTAGTCATGGCTCCAGCATTGTTGAAATGTCAACTTAAATCTATCCTTTTTTAATAAATTTAATAAATCCTAAAAACTGTTAGATTTGCTATCTAAAATTATATCTGCCTGTTTTTTGTGTGTGCGTGACTTGTCACGACGCAAGCATCGTGACGCCGAGAGCATGGTGGGAAATGTAGTATTAGCCACTGAATGTACGTAACTCGTGGAAAACACATAATTAAAAAAACAATGAACAAAACATGTACAGTATTTTGTTTGAAAGAAATATCGTAAAAGGGAGCTTGTCAAAATGCCAAGACAATAAAGATGTTATCTTAAGATATTAATCGTAAGTGTATTAATTTGACGCCAATTTTTTTTTACCGTATTTCTTAAATGTTTGGTATTATTTTCTCACAAATACTGGTACACAGTCAAATTAACTTCAGGTACACATTTAATCGTAAAAATGCCCTTCATAGAAGAATGAGACAATTATCAATGAGCTGGTGTAATGAGCCCATTCATACGCTAGATGGCAATGTTACCATTCACTTGAGAAACTTCCCTGACGTGAGCCACCACATTTACTTCGAAAAAGTTACATAAGTCCCGAATGTAGACAGTGCTATTATATGAATAGTTATTTTCACAAATCAATACAGTCACAAAACAACGATAGTCACTTGGATGCAAACAGTTAAACGTATCTGCCTGGTGGTATTTCACCTGGCCGGCTGTCATTCCAGACTTTCCCCACGCCCCACTTGTGACGCAAAGTAGGATGTGCCGAGCGCATCAGCTTGGATTGACCCAACAGGTCCTGGACTTCCCTTGTGCTGTTCTCGTCGGGGCGTCCCAGCAACATGCGAAGCGCACCACTCACGTTTGCAACAACCGCTCACAGGACCCCACGGACACTCGCAGAGTACTTTGGAAACTCTTCTACTGTTTGCCCGGACTGGATTTAACGCCAAAAAACTCGCACTTGGAGACTAAACTTGATCCCGGGAGGATAATCGCGTGGAGTGATTTTTGGAGACTCAATTACGCGCGGGAATTCACAAATAAATGCCAGCGCCAAAGTTGTGCATCACTCCTTTTCTTAATTCCCACAGTTCCCCTCATCGTTCCGGTGAATCTTAGCGGCGGGGCTTTCTTTCCGTCGCCCGAGGATGTGGGCCGCAGGACTCCCGGCCGCCGTGGTCGTGACCCTTCTCCTGGTCACCATCGACGTGCAGGCCAGCGGGGAGTATTGCCACGGGTGGCACGACGCCCAGGGAGCGTGGAAGGAAGGCTTCCAGTGCCCGGAGAAGATAGACGGTGTGGACGCCATCATTTGCTGCGGGAAGTGTGAGCTGCGTTACTGCTGCTCCAGCACTGACGCGCGGCTGGACCAGGGCAGCTGCGACAACGACAGGAGGGCCCTGGAACCCGGGTCCGAGGGCAAGGAGACCAAGGACTCCGGTGCAGGTAAAAGCGTGTGTGCGCACTCACTAGTCATAACAGGATAAAGAAAATCCGTGGAGGACTTCTCTGAAAATGCTGCTGGGAATGAGTTAGGAAAGTCATTTCCAAAATGTAATCCATTACACATTAGTAGTCACTGGCATGCAGAAATAATTGGATACAATATTGGTAGCATTAGAGCAGCTTTCGTTAAGGGGTGCACCCTTCAAATCCCGACATAAAGCTTTCAAAAAAGTAAAAACTACGTTTTTGGGATACCTAAAGTGCATTTTTCTGCAAACGTTTTCAATCACGCAAAGTTGGTGTCTCCCTCTACCTTGCACACACACTGAGAAGTCAAATTGTAGACTTTCTAAAAAATGATTTCAGCCACGCACCCACTTCAGCATCTTAACAGAGTTGAGGCGCCACATCGACATAAAGCTAACAGAAGTCAACCCCCAACATTTCTTTGGAATGATACGTTCCATGCAGCCCTACTAGTCTAAACATGGCATTCTTATGAATATTTAGTTTATGTGGTGCGGCCATTTTGCCACTTGTTGTTGACTAAAAATGACATCACAGTTGCTCAGGTCTCAGTTAATAATCATGGCTCAGCTTTAGAAAACAGGTGAGCCGAAGTTGACGCACCCCATCACCCTAAACACCGAAACCTAAAAAAAAAAATGTACAGACAAAGCTTTTTGGATAGCTCAAACAATCATGGCTGAGCTTCAGAAAACAGGTGAGCCGAAGTTGACGCACCCCATCGCCCAGACAACTCACCCCAAACACCGAAACCTAAAAAAAAATGTACAGACAAAGCTTTTTGGATAGCTAAAGGGCAGTCTTTTGGAAAGTTATTAAGCCGCGAAACCCCCCCAACATGCCTGAAAAAAATTGGCGCACCCGCTGTACTCTTCACACATCATGAAAATTGTTTAAAAAAAAAAAAAAAGCTTCTTTTGGGGTACTTTAAGAGCAGTCTTTCCCAAACTACTTTAACATTCTGACAGAGTTGGCACACTACCTCCACCCGACCCTCAACTTTAAAAATAGTTGAAACGCAGTCTTTTTTTGTATTTTTATGGCAAAAAAAAAAAAAAAATTCACGCATGCAGTCATTCAACATCCTGACAAAGCTGTCTATCTCGCACACATTGAAAAAGTCTGAAAAGCTAACCTACAGTCAGGCTGTGCAGGCAGGCGGGCCTTAAACAGAAATCCAAAAACACAAAGAGGAATTCTACAGGTCGACCACGTCAAAAAAAAAAATGTGCGGATGATTTTGGAAAGCCGTGTGGATGTGTTGTATTGAAATACATCTCAAGTGAGATTATTCTGACTAACTCTCCCGACGTTTCAAGATTGGATTTTGTGCAATTACACGGCTCCGACTTTCCTCCCATGAAGAACGCCCCCTTGTTGAGAGGAGGATCAGCTGCCGGCAGGTTGGCAGCAACAGCTGCACAACAGACAGCAGAGAGAGAGAAGAAAAAAAAAAAAAAGAAAAAAAAACGCTATGTGGGGCTCCCAAATGGTCCTAAAGTGCACTTTTAAAAATAGAATAGCATTTCTCGGACACTGCCGGAATCAAGTCGGGACTTGAAGTGGATCGTGGACGGTCGCCGAGACGAGAAAGTGTTGACAGCTCCGCCCGTTAAAACATATGCACCTTCTCAAATCGCCTTTCATTTTGGTATCCTCCCAACTTTTAAAGCCACTGTTGTGCTTTCCAAGGATTCACTGTACTCGGCCACCTAGGGATTGAGCATTCTGTAAGGTTGAGTGAATACACGTTAAAGTGAAATAGTTTTTTTTTTACGACAACAACGTCGATGAAATGTAAACAACACAACTATTAACACACGTTAAAGTGAATTTTTTTTTTTTTTTTTTTTTTTACGACAACGTCGATGAAATGTAAACAACACAACTATTAAAATATAAATTTAAAAATCTGTGAGCTCGCTGACAAGGTGGACGATGACAGGACGGACATTTTGGGCTAATGTTTGCAATGAGTGAGCACATTGTGGACTTTAGCTTGGCAAGTTAGCAAGCTAACTGTCCTGTTGTCATGTCTACAATAAGAATTTCTGAAAGGTTCGATACCAGTTGATGTTTCCTGATGACAGGGTGGACATTTTGGGCTAATGTTAGCAATTAGTGAGCAGATTGTGGCCTTTAGCTTGGCAAGTTAGCAAGCTAACTGTCCTGTGGTCATATCTACAATTCGAATTTCTGAAAGATTCAATATCAGTTGATGTTTCGTGATGACAGGGTGGACATTAGTATGAAGTAGATATTATGCTGTGAGAAATAAATATTGGTTACGCTTTTGCCCCTTTTTCAATAAATTACCCGCTAGCAGGCAATGTACATATAAAGGGCGAAATATGCTAGCTTGCTGACAGGGTGGGCAATGACCTTCACCAAAAATTCTACTAATCCAGACCGCTCTTTTTCGTTTTATTTTGCACACACCGACAATGGATGTCCAGTTTGTTTTATAATCTGACCCTCATTTGTAATGACTGCAGGAACTGCTGTATACATTTCACACCGCTGGCTCCTGGCCAACCTTACATTTTTTTACCCCCCCCACCACCTTGTACAAGGCTCAGTTGCATTTTATCCATTTTCCGACGCTTTACAGGCTATTAATCACTCAAGGCAAAGAATACACAGAGCGGCTTTGATGGCTAACAGGCAGGACGTTATTAATGTGCTCTGCCGTGAGGAAACATGTGGCGCTCAGGCAACGGGAGAATGCCCAGAGGGCACGGGTCCGAGCGGCCTGTGTTCCCAAAAATGGAGCGGCGACAGGTGTGTGACGGGTGGGGGTCCGTGAAAAAACACATTCGCAAACCATTTGTATATTTCACTCGTACATATTTGAAGACTTAGTGCACCTTTTATCGGATGACGTTTATCAGCTGTGACGTCAGTTTTAACCTTTTAAAGTGGTGGAAAAATCTCCTTCTTGGCTCGGGCATCTGTCGGTGGTTAGTTGAGGCCAAACCATTGAGATTTACAGATTAAGAGGCCTACATTTATGTGAACAGACGAATAGGTAATCAGGCGAGGGGATACTCGCATGCGAATGCATCTTCAGCAACAGAAGGAGTTTGTATTCATGCTGAACAATTCATCAAATTCAAATCGACATTGTAATGTCAGAATGAAAAGAAAGAGTAAGCCGAACCTGTAAAAACCCAACATTTACATTTAATACGCCTGATGTTGTTTATTGTCATCAAGATTCATTCATCGTTTGGCAAAAAATGGATGGGAAGAGGACCAACGGAAAAATAATCGCATATTCATTCGAAATTGCAATATTGACAAAAAAAAAAAGATAAAATTATTTTTCAAAATCGTTCAGTCCTGGTTCGTACACAAGACATTATTAAATGTATTTGGTAATTCTTGTGACTTGAGGTTGTTCAACGCTTCTATTGTAATGAATGCATGCTATTTAGTAGTAGTAGTATTTAGTAGTGTGTGTTTTTACATATGTACGTTACATCGTCGCTTCCACTCCTAAATTTTAATAGCCTCCGTCATCTTTTCTCTCGTCTGTCATAGATTTAACGTGACAACATTTTGATCAACCACAAGCTGCTTGTAATGGTCACATTTCCAAGGGAATGGCATACATTTTTCTGCATGTTGGAGCAGCGTGACCGTGATAAAGCTTCTCAAACAGTCCAAGATAGAAAAACCTCTTTCCGGGCAGGGTTCACAATGCCAATGTCAAATCTGATGATACCTGAAGCAACTTTGATAGGACACCATGTTCATAAAAAACTCACCGAATGGACTTGAGGTTGAAACCATGAAAACAAATACAAAACCACGATAAAGCATACAATTGGTCGGATGAAAGCAGGGCGCTTGATGCCCATATAAGTACAGGAAAAGAGGTCAGTGACCCCACCCCCATGCCCAAGGGACATTACCCTTATATGTGTAGCCATAACAGACTTATAGAAAGAGTTCCTGTGAGAAGCTGTTTATTGGGAGTGAGGTGTCGGGTGAGCTATGTTAGAAGTTGACACCTCAATTCTGGCTTTAGTGTCACCTGCCCTCCTTCTCCTCTTCTTCATCACGCCTGCCCTCCTACTTTTTTTCAGTCGGAAGCCTCACATGCTGTAATCTGTGCTCAGACCCCTCTGCTTTTGATGGGCATTGAGAGTAAAAAAAAAAAAGAGCCTGCAGACAAAAGGAAACTGGAGCTAGTCGCCTCACTCTCCACGTTACGCTCCGTAACACTCCCTGAGAATGGAAAATAACTTGACGACCTACAGGAGGGGAGGGGTGGATGGGTGCGTGATAAAACGCAAGAAAATTGCTCGTGACGTAATGTGGGACATTATTGTTTTGATCACCAGAGCGTCCAGCGTGAAAAGTGAAGCCATAATTATAATGTGAAGTTTTCACTTTCTCAGGACGTGCTACTTTGAAGCAAGGTAATAAATCGATTTTCATGCCATTAGCCCAAATTCAATTAATCGTTCAAATGAACCACCATAAAATAACACATTGTGACCCATTCTTGGACATAATTTTTCCAAACGTCAGAGAAATTGTCAAAAAAAAAGGGAGGTCTAATGCATTTGGATTACAACAAGTGTATAATTTAAAATATAAAAACAGATGAAAAATATTAACATTTTTAAAAAGTATATAGTGAAATTACACAACCTAGGAAAAAAAGAACAATTACTGCATGAAAAATACAAAAATAGTCCACGAAAAGTACAACAATTAAGAAAATATGAAGAAAACCCTACAAAAAAATGAGACAAAAAAAACACCCAGGATAAATAGCCTTTTTGAAACCCATGAAAAATATTTTGCCGACAGGCGTCGGGGGAGCCGCCCCGTTGGCCCCCCCGGCCTGCACGCCCCTGCTTTCCCTGCATGTCCTCTTCTTCTTCTGTGGTTCGTGTCTTCTCCTTTCCTTGCTGTTCGAGAAGCCTAAAGGCAACTACTAATCTCACTCATTAAATAGGATTGTAACGACAAAAAACATAATTCTATTTTCAAGCGCAAAGTAACGGACACTCGTAAAGGCCTCGTAAAGGTGGCTCGCTCGCCGTTCACTTGCTCTGTTGGATATCAAAGTCAGCCAAACGAGACGGGCGCGCTTCTTTGATTTTCATTAAATCATTGGACGCTGAATGCCTTCTTTTCTTGAAGCACAAGCCAAGCGCTGCAAAGTCCGGCCAGGAATAACTGGCTCAAGAATGTAACCCCCCAACCCACAGCACCCCCCCCCCTTCCTCGAACACACACACACACACACACACAGACCTGGCTTACGCTCAATGGCCACTTCATTAGGTACACATCTGAGTATCCAAAAGGTTTGTTTTGACTGTATTTTTGTTTTTAAAAGTATGCAAGACCACTTTGGTATTTTGTAAGGCTGTCTTGAGGTTAGATGGCTGTGTGCCAACTGTCCCCCCCGAAAAAAGTTTGCGAAAGGCTGATTGAAAAGGTTTTCATTCGCCGTGTTGTTTCTTCTGGGTGTTTATAGCGCATAGGGTGTGTCCAAATCTTAAGGGAGGGCGAAAAGAATTTGGGAAAGACTCCCTTTTAAAAATACCCAAAATGCTTTGCTCCACCTTTTTTTGTTGCTGTTGGGTCAAAGAGCTGTGCACCAACTGTTGAAAATTTGGAGGGGGTGTTTTGCTTCAAAGGTTTAGGGCGGGCTGCGCTGTTGTGGGAGTGGTCAAGAGACGACTTCAGTCATGGCCAATCAAAGGCGATCTTTTTATTCTCTTGTGTGGCGTGCTATATGAAGCAAAAGAAGAAAAATCCAATATATACAAAAATATTTATGAGCATCTTCAGAATGCATTTTGCAAATCATTACATTTGGGACACACTTTGGGCATTAAAAGTGTGACAAAAAATATTACTTCAGAACACGACTCATATTACGTTTTGATTGATACCAACTGCCAAGAATTCAAATCTGAGTAAAATTAATTAAGCTTCCTAAATGAAATTCAGCAGGGTCTGTCTTTCCTGTTATTGACCAAATGATGTGAAAATGACCCATATTTATCGACACAACGTGACAAACTACCCAGCAACATGTTATTCGCACACGGAAAGGACTAGAGGGGACACGGCGGGGCGCTAAGGATTAGGACGAGATCAAAACAAAGTCGAGAAGTGCTAATGAGAGTCTCAGGCTCCCTGGGCAGCAAATCTCGCCGCACCTTTCACTCCAAACGAGGCAAGCTTTTTTGTGTCCCTGTCTCAGCCAATCAGCACTCACCCGTCAGGACAGGCAGAGAAGCGGCGTTTGGACTTCAAATGTCTTTTGTGCTGTGGTTCTTAACGTTGTCGCCTCCCTCCACAGTTCCCATCTACGTTCCCTTCCTCATCGTGGGTTCCGTGTTCGTGGCCTTCATCCTGGTGGGCTCGTTGGTGGCCATGTGCTGCTGTCGCTGCCTGCGCCCAAAGCAGGAGCTTTCGTCGGCGACGGGCGGCGGCACGGGGGGTCTCCAGGGCCGCCTCCTGGAGACCATCCCCATGATGTCCAGCGCCGGCACCTCCAGGGGCTCGTCATCGCGTCAGTCCAGCACCGCCACGTCGTCCAGCTCCTCCGCCCCATCCGCCAACACCCGGCCGGGGCCCCTGCCGCCCGGGCCCCTGGTCCGGGCGCAGGCCTCCTGCTGCCTGCCGCCCGACGCCAGCGTCTTCGTCAACATGCCCACCAACTTCTCTGTTCTCAACTGCCAGCAGGCCACGCAGATCATGCCCCACCAGGGACAGTTCCTGCATCCGCAGTACATCGGCTACGCCCATCCGGTGTCCCCCACATTTCTGGACCCCAACCAAGGCGGGTATAGACCCCTTCAGTCCCCTTGCCCTCCCGCTCAAACTGGAGGCTCCAGTGAGCAGAAATACCCTCCGGTGACTGTGTGACGACCTGTCTCACTCTACCTGAGAGGGCTCTGGCGCGCCCCCCGGCCCGTTTGTAAGCCTCCTGATGTTTGGTGTCGTGAATGAGCCGAGCTCAGCTGACAAACGTGGGTTGCGAAATACTTGCAAGAATGATACGTGTGTTTGTAGCGGTGATGACTGGGTTGATTTTTTTGCTGCGCGTTTGTAAGGTGCGATGGCAAACACACGGTCTTTCCCTCCAGACTATTTAAACGCTAATGAAGTGAGCGCGGCGCACGGACCGTGACGCTCCGGATTGTTTCTCCCGACGCCACCCCGGCGTGAGAAAGCGCCGACGTCAACCAAAGGATGGCTAGGCGGCGCTTTGAAGACGATACCCCCCCCCGCCCCCCCCACCCCTCCCATGAGGTGTGTTACTCGATTTAACACTCGCACAGTTCAGTGCATCTGGCGAGAAAACAAGCAGTCGCCCGTTGCCTTCCAAATGCAGGAATGTGCAGTTGGTCTGCACAATCTGCAGCAATATCGCTTGGGTCGTCGGCGGTGCACTACTACCATTTTTTTTTTAAGACCATGGAATGAAATAAAAGAAACAAGTCATTTTCAGGGAGCTTCTGGCATCTTGTTTGCTAACTTTCACAATCAAAATACATGGAAAAAAAACAACATAACAAAAAAGTCTGTTGGATACTTTTAGAGCTGTCATTATTATTTACAGTCGCTGACGGTGCAGTGCTACGCTCGCCTGACCTGTGGACGGCCATGGTGGGATCGGTTCCCACTCAGTGACAGTGTGAAATGTGGGTGTGAATGGTCATTTGTCTCTATATGTACCCTGCGACTGACTGGCGACCAGTTCAGGGTCTGCCTTCCGCCCAAAATGAGTTGGGATAGACGCCCCGCGACCCTGTTCAGGATAAGCGGTGTTGAAAATGGATGGATTATTATTTACTCTCTCCCCCAGCGCACCCCCTCTACTCCAAAATGCATCAAAAAGTCAAACCAAAGCCTTTTGGACATTTCTTGGAAGCCTTTCACAAACCATACTCCCTAAAAAAAGTCAAAACAAGTCTTTTCGAAACTTGACGTGCTGTTTATGACAAGTTTCTTAAACCATGCAAATCACGCCGATGTGTTGGCGCACCCCCTCTTACTCTAGCCCACAGGCCCGTAGATTGCCCACCCTGGTTTTCAGGCGCTATCCCCCATTTTTGGGTCATATTCTTTATCCCCTTGCAAGACACAATTTACACATTGGCAGACGGCTCAAGCACCCGCGGCGAACGCTGGGACAAATTGCCGTCACTTCATCAGACGCGCTCGGCGGGACCGAGAAGAAATGAGGAGGAGGTGCGATTTTGGCTGGGAGCGTACTTACAGTTAACTAGCGCCGGGAGTGGATGGATTCTCCATACTGCGGCAGCTGCACGTTCAGGAAGGTGGGCGGGAAAGGCATCTCCACTTGGACACGAGAGAGATTGAGGTGTGTGTGTGTGTGTGTGTGTGTGTGTGTGTGTGTGTGTGTGTGTGGTGGGGAGGGGGTCATTTTAAAGGTCTGTGTAAATTTGATGCTGCAAAGCTTGGGGATGGAGCGAATGAGAACCATACAACAATCAAATCTATTGTAGTGTACACACACACACACACACACACACACACACACACACACACACACACACACGCGCGTGCACAGTTTCATGATGGCAACAGAAATTTTACTTACGTCGCCACCCCTAAATTTTCACATTTACAAAAATGATTTCATTAAAGCCATTAAAACTATGCAAGTATAAATAAGATAAAAAATGCAAAGTCAACCATTTAAAAAATAATCCATCATACATTTTAATTTAAAAAAAAAAAGTTAAAATAAAATAAGCAACAACAACAATAAAAGTTAGCTTTTTATTTTTAAGTATTATGATAGCAAGATTCTGGAACTCCTCAATTCACTTTTTCCAGGAAAATGTCTTTCCAAATATAACCAGGTTGTGTAAAAAAGCTTTTTTTTTTTTTGCTAATAAAAGATTACTTTTTTTTTTTTAATCAGATATCAGTTAAGTTTTTAAAGATTAATTTTGGGCACTGATTCTGAATATGCCTTTGTTTTATTTCTCGTCGAGCACATCAGGTTTCCCTCATAATAATAATAATAATAATAATATAATGGAATATCATAATATTAGTTTAGGTTCAGCAACAGGTTTTTTGTTTTTTTTTGGAAACGTCATGGCTAGAAATGACAAGGTATGGTAAAATCCGTATCCTGCAACCCTTCCCCCCCACGCCCCTTCAAATACCTGATGTGCTAGAAAAAAAGTAAACACATTCTTGAAATCAGAGTCAGAAATGCGTTTCGGGACACATGAAGACATCTCTGATTCCAATTTGTTGTTGTCTAGTGTAACTTTCCATTTTTCTTTAGCATTCGCCACGTGAACGGAGCACAAAAGTGTTGTTTGTGAAAACCGGCCAATCGCGTGACTCCTTTTAGGCGCCGAGAAGACGCAGACAGCAGGAGGCGGACGCATTTTGGGATTGATTCGATTTAATGATTAGGACTCGGATGGACGGCCGGGCCAACCCCCGTCCTCCCTCTCGACAAGCCGTCATTGTCACATTCCTGAAGCGCCGTCCGCGCGACAAGACGCCACATTCACAAACACAAAAAGACAAACAAAATCCGCGGCGAGACCCAAAAAATAAAAAAATAAAATAATATCCCTTCTTGTTGTTTTGGATGCATACTCGCGTTCCGTGGAAAGCCGTTTCAGCATTTAGTCAATAGCCTACTAGTGTGCCGATTTGTCTGGGTACCACCACCCTCTCTGTCCTCTCTCGTAAAGACAATTGGTAATACTCGACAATTTGCCGCACTAGTAGAACAACTACATGTAACTTGTGAGGCACAGCTGTACACTAGTTGACAGTCTGTGTGCTCCCGGTGAAGCGCTCGATGTTAGCTAGTGGATACCGCTCGACGTACTGGTTGCACAGAGTTTTCTACTAGTGCAGTTTTGCCTCACTATCAACATGTGACTGTTCTACTAGCTGTTGTAGTGGGGGGGGGGGGACATCACAACTAAGGCAGCCCTAGTTGCTCTACTAGCAGGCTCTGGTTGTTGTACTATTATATTAATATTTTTAAGTGTTCTACTGTTGCACTGGAGTCATTCCACAAGTGCGCCTTAGTCATTCTACTAGTACACTTTCATCATTATACTAGTGTGCCTTAATTGTTCCATTTGTGGGCTTTAATCATTTTACTTGTGCGCCTTAGTCATTCTACTAGTGCACTTTCATCATTATACTACTAGTGCTACATTCATCATGATACTAGTATGCCTTAATTGTTTTCTTTGTGGGCTTTAATCATTATACTAGCGCGCCTTAGTCATTCTACTAGTGTTGCTTTCATCGTTCTACTAGTGCACTCGAACCCTTTTCCTGTAACCTGATAACATGATAAGCTGTCCACTGTAGTAACCGCTGTCCCCGAAAGGGTTAATCGTTTTACTAGTGCAATTTAGCTTGTCTACTAGTGCTTCTTAGTTGTTCTACTAAGGCACCGTAGTAACTCTCCGAGTCCACCTTAGCGATGCAACTAGTGCCGCTTTAATAGTTCGACTAGTGCGGCTCAGTCAGTACTCGTGCGCCTTTGTTGTTCTACTTTCGTTATTCTCTGAGTGCTCAAAAATGTCAGTCGATAGTGGGGAAAAACTACTAGTGCACAAACCTGTAAGACAGTCATTCAACAAGTGCACTCTAGTTGCTTTACTCGTGTGCTGACTTGTCTTACCGATGAGGACAAACAGTGTACGAGTAAAGGGACAATTCAGCGCACTAGTAGGATATCAAATAATTCTCCAACGGCTTGCCGTACTAGAATCAGGTAGAACGTTCCTGCTCTCGCACTTTTGAGAACAAAAAACAAGACAAAGCAAAATAAATGACATAAAAAAAAAAAAAAAAGTCAAGTAGTGGAGATGGGCAAAGATAGGAAGTGCGGCGATAAGATGGATGCTTCAGTAGTCGGTTGGAGTGGAGGTATGGGGGGGCGG